GGCCACCAGCCAGCTCCCCATGCAGACAAAATGGGTGCAGGTGGGGGTGCAAGGTCTTGGTGGGGAGACCCCTTGACAGTTGGGGGGGGGCAAAGGAGGCAATTTCCCTGGGGCTTGGACATTGAAACGGTCTTGGAGCGCTTCAGTGCCATTCCACGAGGCTTTGAAGGCAGAGGGAGGGAACCAGTATCCCAGTCCGACTGGTGCTAAGGGCTGATTGCACCCACGGAAGAGGTGGGGGCGAGCAGTGCTGATCCCCCGTCCCTTCCCTTGCCCTGAAGCCCGCTGTGGCTGTCGGCTCCACTTGGTGCAGGAACGTGCTGGGTGGGGGAGTCTGGCTGGGCGAGAGAGTGCAGGAGCGGGTTGGAGGTGTGGGGTCTCAGCAGGGGGCATGCGTGAGGGGGGAAAGCAGTGCAGGGTCCAGGGATAAGGGGGATGGTAGGGTGCTTACTTGGCTTCATGCCCCCTTTGTGCCCATATGCCCAGTCATGCCTCCGCTGCTCTCATTGTCTGCAGTTCTGGTCAATGGAAGCAGCGGGGAAGGCCTCCAGGCAGCAGGTACAGCTCCTAGATGAGGGACTACAGTGCTCCACACGCTGCCCTCCCCCTGAGCACCAACTCCACTCTACCATTGGCTCTTTCCTGGCCAATGGGAAGTGGGGTGAATGGTGCCTGTGTGTGCGTAGAGCACGTTGCACACCTTTGTCTAGAAGTCAGACCTGCTACTGACTGCTTCCAGGATATAGTGTGGTCCCAGGTGCTAGAACAGGCAAGAAGCTGGCCTTAGGATCCCTGCTGCTCTGCTGACAGAGTCGCTGTAGGTAAGCCTGTGCCCAACCCAGTGCCCCAATTCCCTGCTCCAGTCCTGAGCCCTTTCCTTCACCCCAAATCCTTTTTTCTCAGCCCCACTGAGCCCAACTCTAGTCAAAAGGTATAATTATGTTGGGTCACAGACATCAACAATTTTCTTCCAAGTTGTGAGAAAAAAAAATTGAAAACCACTGCTCTAAAGGTCTGTTCCTACAGGCACTACATTTAGGAGCAAGTCTCCCAACCTAGGTTCATAGCACCCCTTGGCTTGACTGACCCAGACAGAGACTCAACCTGAAGGCAACCTATGCACAGCTATTTTTAGGATGCTAATACAAGCCCCGCTGGCACAAGTCTGAGACTCCCATCCCAGAGCCACAGTCTCCAAAGCAGAACACACATAACGGTAAGGTGATCAGCTGTCCCGTTTTTCCTGGGACAGTCCTGTATTTAAGGTCTGTTCCCAGCATCCTGACTTTTTTTAAAAAATAGGCACATTTTTCCATATTTCCATTACAGCAGGGGGCAGAAAGGAGCCACCAGCATTCAGGGCTTCTTCTGCTAAAGCCCCAAGCACCCGTGGCTCCCGTCCTCTCCCTGCATGCAGCGGGGTTGAACGCCATCCCTGCACTGGCATAGGATAGGTGGGGAGCCGCTGGCACTTGGACCATCAGCCGCTGGAACCCCAAGCTTCGATGGGTTCTCCCCACCCTACTGGAGCTGGAGCCGCAAGCGCCAGTGGTTCCTCTCCCCAACCACTCTAGGGCTGGAGCCTTGAGCACTCACAAGTGCTGGTGGCTACTCCCTCATGCCTGTGGGGCTGGAGCCCAAACACCCGCCGCTCCACTCCTATGCCCCACACAGCTGAAGCCTTGAGTGCCGGTGGGCCCCCCCCCCTCCCCACTGCAGGACTGAAACCCCAAGCATCAGCACCACCCCTCCTTTCGGTGTAAAGCCCCAAGCACTGGCAGCTCCCCGCCCTTGGTGTCCTACATTTGGCATGGGGAAATACAATCACCTTACATGCTGCCATAGTTCAGATCAGCAGAAGGCCTCAAGGCAGCCCCAGGTTTGTCTTTTTCCCTAAAAAAGAAAATAGAGGATTGCATGGTATTCTGTAGTTCAAAGCCACCCCTTTCTTTTAGAATGCACTTTCTCCTTCCCCTGATCCAGAGGAGCCCAACTGTTGACCTTCAGTGTATGCTGCACGACTTGTCTTTTTTAGGAGGCAGTTTGTGGAATCAAATACACCAAACCATGACTAGCTTTTGTTGTCTTAGTGGTATTGATTATAGCATGGGTGCAGAGAAAGAGGTTCTGACTGGACTAGTGACAGAATTTGAAACCTTGTTTTATAATTTTATTTCATGAAGTAAAAACCAGCACTAATATAAGGTGGTATAACTAGGAAGCATAATGTGTAAAAATATGACTATCTTTTAAAACTCAGCAAAGGTGATGTTCAAAAACTTGAGTAATATAAATTATAGCTAGTTGTTTTATTAATGAGCATGTTTATCATTTTTTTACTATTCTGCTTCCCAGTACCTTTCATTTAGCTTTTAAATATTTTTAAATAAAATATTAACAGGTAAGCTGAGAGTCTTACATCAATGTGATGCAAATACATAGTCACTGTTATAACAGGGAGGAGGAAATAAAACATTCTCAGCTGAAAGGTGGGTGAGAGGAGGCAGAACCTATTTCAGATCGTATGAATCATTACAATGGGGGACTGTGTTGTACTGTGCTGCATAAATCATTGATACTTCACAAGTAAGTAAATGTTTGTGCAAAATGTATCTAAGCTAATAAACATTTAACTTTTTCATTTATCTCATGATTTTTGTAAATAGCAAGTTTAAGTAATAAGGAAAACTTGTCTGTACTGATTAACTGGAATTTTAGGAGTTACAAATTGTTCTTTGTACTAGAGGTGTAAAATCCCGTTTAATTGGTTGAATGGTTAAACACAGTTCTGTCCATTCATTTAACTGACTAAAAGCAGGGTGGGCCACTACAGCAGGGTTGGAGCGTTCCACCCATGGGGTCACGGTAGAGCAGGGGTGGGCCGGATCCAGGCCTCCGTGGGCCGGATTGGGCTCGCCAAATGGATCCAGCCCGTGGAAGCTCTGCTGTTTCCCTGCCCCAGGCCAATCGGGCTGGGGGAAGTGCACAAAGTTCCGCCACCCCTGATTGGCCTGGGGGCAGAAGGGGGAGCGCACAAAGTCTCCTCCCACCACTGGGGGGCATGGGTGCCTAGGGGGAATCTCGGGGTGGTGCGGGGGAGGGGGCAAAGACTTCACCTGCTCCACCACTCCAAGACCAATCATGGTCTATGGGTGGGAAAGCAGGGAAGTATTCTGTCT